GCTCTAATAGTATACCATCATATATGGTTAGCGTAAGCACTTCTCGACGTCATTGAAAAAGCGGCGCCATTCTCTCCGAACAACGTGTCGCCAGCCAAGATTTCACCTGCGGACGCGAACTTGTGCCCCTTTTCGGGAATTTTTGGTCCAGACTCGCGTGCCATTGAGTTTATATCTTGGATTCCTTCTTACTTGCATTGGCATTAATATCTGATCAGCCATGCGATTGCATTCCGTTTTCCTCAGCCTGCTGGCACTGGCTGTTGCCAGAGTGTACAGCACTGCTCTGACATATAAACTTGCCGCCAACGAGAAGGCCTGTTTCTTCAGCAATGTCGAGCGACCAGGTACCAAAGTCGCCTTCTATTTCGCAGTATGATTCCATCTGGGATTCGTTTGCACAGAACTATTGCTAAGATATTTAGGTTCAATCCGGCGGCTCGTTCGACATCGACTACGAGGTGTATGGGCCCAATGACAGAAAAATAATGAGCGGAGAAAAGGAGAGACAGGGAGACTTTGTCTTTACTGCGCAGACTGCGGGCGAGTACCGTGTCTGCTTCAACAATGAGATGTCGACGTTCGCAGACAAGATGGTCGATTTTGAGGTTGCTGTAAGTCACCGCTCCTCCCCTGGGCTGAAGAGTAGACAACTCATGCATGGGGTGTATAGGTCGAAGACGAATCCAAATCCGCCCTCCTCCCCCAAAAAGCCGGCTCGACACCCGAACAGACCTCTGCATTGGAAGATCTGGTTTTCAAGATTAGTGGACAGCTGAGCACAGTCAGCAGAATGCAAAAGTACTTCCGTACGAGAGAGAACCGCAACTTCAGCACTGTCAGGAGTACGGAACAGCGCATCTTCAATTTCAGTCTGATCGAGGTCTGTATGATGGTCGGCATGGCTGGACTACAGGTATTGGTGGTCAGGTTTTTCTTCCAGGGAGCGAGGAAAGGTGAGTTATTGCTTGTTGACTTGACACGGCAAAGCAACTAACATCGTGGACACCTGCAGGCTACGTATAAAATCCTACATTTGTGCTCCTGTTTACATAGAACAAGGCATGACAACATGTCACGGCACAAAAAGGACGATCTTGACGAGGATAATAAAGGCATGGAATCTCTACGAGTTCTGGGGGTTCAGATCACATCTTACCCACTCATTGGCTCGTGCCTGGTTGTAAGGGTCATTTGGGATTGTCGTCGGAAAGACGCTGGACGATCAAGAGTGGCCTCAAGACAATGTCCATCAAGAGCCACCCATTCTTCCTGCATCTCTATCGTCCATCGTGGAGGCCAACAGTTCCTCTCCTAGCCATCTCGACCCGTCTGTCTTCTTATCGTCTCCCGACGGTTCTCAACCCATTTCCTCTACTCTACTTGCTGCATTCTGCTCTCTTCGAACCGGCTTGACTTTCTGAGTTGGCTTTGCTTCATGGCTCTACAAACCACTAGATTACCATACTGCCGTCTGACCAGCTGTCCTCAACCCTCAGCACACTACCGGATCATCTCCAACCAAGAGAGACTTCGTCGGCTGCTGTGCTCATACACCAGTAGGTCAGACGCCTGTGCACTTATTGGCGCCAGCTCAATCACTGGCATACACGTCAAAATTCATATTTCCAAGTCATGGTTCTTCGTCAAATTGTGTATCTCACGCAACTTGCGATAGATGCTTCGCCACCCATACAACAGCGGGCCTCGGAGGTCGGCATTACGTCCTGTCTCAAGGTGGCGTGGCTTTGCAGAATCTAGCTGCCAGCGCACGGATCCTCGATCTTGGCCAAGATGTGGACAATAGCGTAAGTATGTAACCTACCTACGCAATGGTCGAAGAAATGATCGCAACGAGAACAGCACACGACCTGTACCACGCGCAAACCTTGGACCTTTGTGTTTGCCTCCGTGCAATGTCTCGCCACCAGCCGGTGTCTATGACCATCAAACGAATGATCTACCTCGACGCACGGGCCAGAGGAGCCTCGCTTCCCCCAAACACGGAATAGTTACTCGAGGACTTTCAAAGTAGAGACTGGAGAACGTACGACACTAGGCAATTGGCGAGTATATATCCCGCTCCTACCGGCGCAGCGAGCGCCCGCGGCAGCTCTGAATTGTAAGATATAGGAAGGTTCTTGGAACAAATGGAGCGCGTTGAGCTTGAAGGCGAGAAGAGCTAGAGAAGAGGTCCAGTTATGGCCCCAACACCCTTTGACTCATTCAAGGTCTTTTAGCTTACAGGATCCGGTCGTCAATAGCTGACGCGTCCAGCGCACGGGCTCGTCTCTTGCTCGCACCACGACCGCACGGTCAATCTATGGAGGTGCCACACCTAGGATCTCGCCGGACCGTTTCCGATCTGCGGACTAACTGGTCATGATCGCAATCTGAGGTAAAGCAGATGAGGAAAGAGATCTTGGGAATTGAGGTACCGCTCAAAAGTGGATATATCGTAGAAGTGCTGATTGAGCACGATGAGGTACCGAGTATTACTTGACAGAATATGCGCACTTTTTAAGTGTAACGAGTAAGCAAGGAGTGGAAAAAGGGCCACAGGCTGGATCAGGCTGGACCAAATCTTAAAGGGGTTGCCAAGCAAAGCTTCCGCCCCTTTCCGCCCCTCCGCCGCCTCGCCTATTGAACGAGCTGAGTACCTCGTACGTTGGTACGTCAACGCCTTCGGACTCCTTTTGTGCTGCAAGGGAACATCCTATTTTCGGGCCCCGTCGTCTCGATGTAACTGTCCCAGCGTTAATTGGCGGGTCTCGCAATCCGAGTTGATTCCGAAAAGAAAGGCAAAAGTCCGGACCTGCGAGAGAGATCTCTTCTTCATTACCCCCGTCATTTGGCCTCGGAAAAACTGCGTGCCCGTTGATACGAGGAATTATGAATGGGCTCTGAACAGGACAAGCTGGTGGAGTGTTTCCTGTAGACGTTGACCGAGAACGGACCAAGGAGTGCGCACGCTCTGTGGCTGTGGTGCACCACGGGTATATGACACGGAGGGCAGGACTGACTCGCTGAAAGTACGAGTGTCGCTACGTGGGGTTGTGACAGGGTGGCTGGGTTGAAGAAGGCACTTCATACGGCAACACAGAGAGGGACATTGGCTACGACGAGCTCTGGAGGAGCACCGGGTTGGGTTCAAAAGGTGTCCTGTCCTGTCCTTTGAGCCGTCGTTGGCGGAAAGCTGGGGGGACAGAATTGCCATTTTCGACAGCAGTTGCTGAGTCGCCGGGAACAACAACTACCACCCCTCCAACATTACCTCCTCGTCAAGAGCTTCCACTGGGCAGTCAACACACGCCGCCACCACAGCTCTGGGTAGAAGATGCCGTCGCCGCACCTTGACACGATCGAGGACATCCTCGCCACAGCGACCGTCGACCCAACATTCTCCGCTGCCCTGCAAGCCAGCCAACTCCAAGCCGGGTCGAACTACACGCTTTCAGACATCAAGCAAAGCGCCGCGGCTGGTCTTGGACCGCTTCAGAAACGCCTCGCAGACTCGCGGCCGAGCGAGATCACCGAGACCGAACACTCGATCAGACTCCGCGACGACTGGCCCTGCCGCATCATCGTATGCCATCTGACCGCGGACTTGAAAGCTGCCGGGCCCGCGCGACCACTCATCCTCCTCCTGCATGGCGGCGGCCATACCATCGGCTACCCAGAGCTCCAGCTGAGTTTGGCGAGGGAGCTCGTCCTGGCCCACTCGGCCGTGGTGGTGTGCGCGTCGTATCGACTGGCGCCGGAGTTCCCTTTCCCCTTCTCCATCTGCGACTCGTGGGAGGTGCTGCAGTTCTGCGCCACTGAGAACAGGAAGTCCAACTCGGCCATCTTCCCCCGCTGCACTGACGCGCGCGTGGGGTTCCTGGTCGGCGGCGAGAGCGCGGGCGCCAACCTCGCCGCCTCGCTGGCCCACCTCGCGCGGGACCACAACCTGAACCCTCCGCTGACGGGCCAAGTGTTGATGGCGGGAACATACATCTCGCCCGGTCGCGTGCCGGAACGGTACCAACCACGCTATCTAAGCCGCGAGCAAAACGCCCACGCCCCGATCCTGGACCGACACCTCCTGACGCTGCTGACCGAGGCGTTCCAGCCCGACCCGGCCTCGAAGCTGTGCTACCCGTTCGACCAACACGATCCTCGCGACGTGGATGGTAAGGGGACAGATACAGGTCACCAAAGGGGCTCCGTCAAACACGGCCATCTGGGTCTCGCACCAGCGTATTTCCAGGTCTGCGGCCTCGACCCGGCCAGGGACGACGGGCTGATCTACGAGAAGGTCCTGCGGGAAGAATGCGACGTGCCGACCAGGCTGGATCTGTATAGTGGGTGGGCGCACTGCTGGTGGGCCATGTTTCCGGACCTGGACATGTCCACGAGGAGGATGAGAGATGTGGTCGAGGGGGTAGGGTGGCTTTTGGGTCTGAAGAGGGATCGAAAAGGTGGTGGCGGCGGCGGCGGTGTCGTTTGAGCCATGCACACGCACATCCTCTCTCCGATTCATCTCTCTCTATTCTCCTCCCGTCTACCGCCCTTTAGGAGTTATCGAACGAGCCTAGGGATTGATTACAAAGACGGACCAGGCCAGGCTAGGTCACTCGGAGAGATTTGTTGACGATATATATACCCCCTGCTTTACGGGTGAGCATTGTTGTCCATTTATCCGCCAAACTCGAAAAATCCGTCTCATCGAAATACATTCACATAATCAACATTCAATATTCAGCTGCTGTGGCTGGCTAATTAATGGGGCTATTACTAGCCCCGACTCTCGGCCTTACCCTGCCATTGAAGAGCAGACGACTCCGCCTTATTTTCCTCCTTTCTTACGCCTTTTTCTTTTTTAACTTGCCTCTCCATGTCCTGCTTCATTCCCCTTTTCTCCAGCTCTTTCAAGCTCTTCTCTCCCACGGCATCGGCCCCTTTCCCCCCTCCTTCCTATTTATTCCCTTGACGATAGTCTCTGACGAGGGAACTTGTCGTCAACACTCAAACATCTTGGCCGTGCTCACGTTGATGCGACTCCACTTCCTCCCGTCGCGGAGACAGGCCCAGAACCGCACAGGCCAGTAGACGTGGTACAGCCACCACCAGGGCAGGGGGTCCCAGGGCTCGTACGTGCCGTCTCTCCACGTGAGGAGGCGGTGGAGGAAGAGTGTGTAGTTTTGGGTGAGATGCGTGATCGATGCACGAATGCCGATGCCTGTGCTGGAGGGGGCTCTAGATCTGGGAAGGGAAACGGAGGCTAGGCCAGAGAACAGCGCGAAGAAGAGCGACAAGGTCGGCAGGAGAACCAGGGTGACCAGGTCGTGGCCTGTCCAGAAATATTTCTCTTGTGCGACGGGGTGAACTATGTCAATGCCCGAATCGGCGGTGCGGTTGAGGTGGTGATGATCCACATCCTCGAAGATGGAGAGATATGCCTGGACCATTGCCGTGGCGGCTGTGCTGATGCTGGTGCCGGTGCGTCCATTGAACAGCACCACCGCGGTGTGCGCCCGCGGATTACATTCGATCGGGTAAAGCACGATATCTCGCGGATCGACATTGCCTTTACCGTCCTTTCCTCCGTCTTGGTCCTCACGCACCATGAAGTCAAAAGACAAATGGCCTGTAAACCCCCGGCCGCCGCTCGCCGCATATTTCCGAGTAAACGCCAACATCGCCCGGCTCAGGGGCGACTCGGCAGGAAGTGCCTGGTAATGCATGAGCAACTCGGCCGACGGACACGCCACGAAGGCCTTGACCTTGCCCGCCATGACCAGCGCGTGCGTGCAGTATTCCCGCCCCTGGATGAACTCCTGCAATATCCACGGCGCAGCTTTGGAGATGTTGAGGCGCGCGAGATGCTCCACGGTCTCGCGCTCGTATTTCTTCGGGAGGAGGGTCAAATCCCCGCGCACGGCGTCGTCCACCCCGATCGTCTTCATGATGTATTTCCTCCCGTGGGGCGCCGCCGCGCGCAAGACGTCCAACACCGCCTCGCGGGAGGCGACCTCGTGCGTTTCGGGGACCGTCAGCCCCACGACGTCTCTGGTGTGTGCCATGAACGAGTGCTTCTCGTGCAGCGTCTGCGTGGTCTGCACGTCGAACTGGACGGCCTTGCACGCGGTCCGGGCCTCGACGACCTCCTTGGCCATGCCGTCCTCGACCGCCGAAGCCACGCCCGAGCAACTGATCCAGAGCTCGACCTTCTCCTTGGTCACCACGTCCAGCAACGTCTGGATGTACGGCGCGGCCCCGGCCTTCGCGTCGGGCTTTTCAAGGCGATAGAACTTCCCCAGAGCCGAAGACACCCTCCCGCACGCCCACGCGCCGTCGGGCTCAAAGTCGGCGCCGATCACGTCGTGGCCGGCCTCGTAGAAGAGCCGTGCCAGCGCGAGGCCCTTGCTCATGCCCACTCCCGTGACCAGAACCTTGCGTCTCGTGAAGCTGGCATCGCGGTGACGTGCCGCTTCTCGATTCGAGATTACCTTGCTCGGAAAGACTTTGCCCACGACAAGAGAAACGAGTAGAATCAAAGTGTCCAGGGGGAGAAAGACGAGACTCAGGATCAAGAGCGATGCGTTCTGTAGCCTGTGAGCCAGCAGCGGAGAGTTTCTCTGGAGCATTATTGAACTCAGAGGGACGTGCTCGCCTGAATGCCTGGAAAGAAAGGGGACAGTGAGGTGAAGACGGTTGAAGAGTTAAAACGCACACGCACACATGCATACACACAGGGAAAAAAAATTTCAAAACAAGATAGCCAATAACTAAAGCTATAGCATGGGATTGTGGCGTGCAAAGGGGACGTCGCTGTCAGGTGCATAATGCGTATATCAGAAATATAGACGTCACTCCTGCAGAACAAGTGGAGATGATAGGTAGGGCACTATATTCCGATGCCGCGGAAGCTTGATACTTTGCAGGGAGTGGTGCTTCGATCCGTGATAACGGCTACATGCTTGTTTGCAACCAAAAGAATATAGCACTGGTAAACGTGTCTTACTGACGACCAGAGACATGGGCGCTGTTAGGAAAGATAAATAGAGGATATTGGTAGGTCTAGATATTGCGGGATTTCTTGGAAGACGTTCAAGGATTGCTGCTACTTAGAAAAACAGTGGTGGTCTCACTTATAGCGTTTTACCATTCTCAGTAGCCTAGTATACTTCCGTTGCTAGCTTTACTCTTTTGATGACTGAGATTAGAATGTAACCGAGACTCTCAGCCGCCAGTGGCAAGAAAAGAAAGAGAGAGCACGGACGGAGGTATGCGTCTGTCCTATACATGCTCCAATACCCAAACAGCATACGTTTCAGCTTCCTTCTTCGCCCACGCCCACGCATCTGGTGATTTCGACCGCGTCCTGGTTGTATTTGGTCAGAATGCGAGATGCTCTCAGTCAGGAAAAGGTACTCACTGGTACGCCCGATGGTTCGAAGCTGTGGACGAGTTTACTCTCGTATATCAACAGCGGATTTCCCACTCTTGTCTCATCCAATTTGGCTTCGCCCTCCCGCTTGAGATATTGTTTGGCTGTGCGGTTTGCGAAGCGAGTATCCACACCGTTGACCGTGTCTGCTTTCTGTGTCGCGTCCTTTTTCTGCTCGACACTGCTCCGGACATACTCTAGATAGGGCGGATTCCCTGGCTTGATCACATTGTCGGCAGCCAAGACAGATCCCGGGGTGATCAGGTTCAACTCCTCGCAGAGCTTGAGGTCGGTGGTGTACGCGGGCTTATAGTGATCCAAGAACAGGAGGTCGATATGTTGCAGAGTCCCCGAGTCGTGCAATTGCTTGATGGAGGCATCGCTGGATCCCTCGATGACTTTGACAATGTCGCTCAGCCCAGCAAGGTCAACCAAAGAAGTAATCACAGATACAAATTCGGAATTCCTCTCCAGGCTGAAGTACTTTTGGCCGCCAGCCTTGCGGACAGCGTCCCCAAACAAAATGCACGAGTACCCAACATACCCGCCCAGCTCGACCATGACCTGTGGCTTGACTTCGGCTATCAGGTCAGTCACAATCCGGCCTTTGTCTTCGCCCACATTCATCAGATATTTCTGGGTGCGGGCAAACTCGTCGATAGCTGCGAGCACTTTATGCGGCGAGTTTCGCATATCCTCCACATCTGGCTTGTTGAGAATGAATTCCAAGAGTTCTCTCTCGCGGCCATCGTCAAACTAGGCCTAGTCAGTGTGTTCTTCCAAATTTCTCATGGTTGAACCGTACATATATTTCCTCCTGCTCTTGATACTTCTTTTGCGGGTCAAAGTCAGCCATGGCTTCTGTACAGTTGTCTGTCCCACGATGAAAGAGGCAACAGCGCCATTTCTACCAGGAAAAAAACGAGATTTGTGCTCTGAGAAGTGGCTGGAGGGAATAGACATCCGCACGGGGAACACATCGCCCAACAACTTGGCTGCCATGTCATCAACATGTGGGCCATTTGATTAAGAGACTAAACCAGTGGAGTCGGAATTGAAGAAGCCGTGTCACTAGATCTAGGTGGAGTCAGCATGCAAGATCTGGCAGCATGAATCACCACATATCCGGGATCGTGGCAACGGAGACCGTTGACTGGAGAGTTTGTAAAAGTCATGATCGAACAACAACAAAACCGCAACATGTGGTGATGATTCGGTCATTTGAGTGCAGCCAATGACATGTTAGTATACTAGCCTTGTTTGGACTAGTGCCTCCGTAGCCTGATGGTCTCCAACTTCCAGACTCGACCTCCTCCCCCTTTCCTCCTTCCTCTCACTATATCCTTGTGCTTCTTGTGGAGCGTTTTCAATCGTCATCAACCGCTGGTTATGGACAGCTTCATGCGGAGAACTGCTCTGCAACACGGCTCAGATGTGCCGGTGACATTCTATACTTGCGGCCCCGCAGTGGTCAACGCTCGCCCAGCCGGATCTCTAATCCATGAGATCCAGGGGAAACAGGACCGATGAAACCGAGACGCTAGGGTCTCCTTCCTGTGATCTGTGTGTGTGGAATGATCTGGCATTTCCCTACCAAACGGGAGAGATGGCCTCAGGGGCAGGTACAAACCTCGGTGGGGGACAACTGCCGGGACGAAAAGCCTCGACTCGACGTTGCTCCATTGACTTTCCCGCAATACATCATGACTGTGACTGGTTCAAATTCTAAAACGGCGCCAAGTTGACTTTGGTCCTCCTAACATGCTGAAGCCGGGGTCTCTCCCATGGCAAAATCTGGTTTCTGCCTACAGTCGAGGACCCGCCGTGGACATTCTTTCATTGAAGTGTTGAGTCCTGCCAGAGAGAAGTACCCAATATTTCTACCCCACACCCATTGTCGCAGTATGGCGGTCAGGATGATGGCAATCTGTGTGGTCGGAGACAACAAGCGGCCAGATACCTTCACCTTCATGAAGAACCTGTCTTTGGACGGGCGTGTTGGAAGCCGTGTCTGTTGGTTGATATATAGAGTCGAAGCTTCTCCCCCGATTTAGCTCCCACCTCTTCATCTTCCACACCCCTTCATTCAACGCCCCTTGCCTCGGAAACTCTCATCAACTGGGATATCCCTGCCCACATTCTACAATGTCTGATCTCAAAGCCTCGGTTGCTGAGACGGCGGCTGGGTTCCATGTTGAGGGCTATGAGAAGATTGAATACGACTTCACCTTCATTGATGGAGTCTTCGACACGAAGAGAAGTGACCTGGCTGATTGCTATACACGATGGGGCCGGTGTCTCGCCGTCATGGACTACAACATCTTCAACATCTATGGCGAGAAGATGCAGAAGTACTTTGACCACTACAAGATCGATCTTGACATTCACAAGACCATGATCGGAGAGAAGGCAAAGTCCATCGACACTTTCTTGAGTATTGTGGATTCGATGAACAAGTTCGGGGTCTTTAGAAAGGTGAGACTGGCCTTGACGACCCCCTTCGTATATACCGCTGACCCGATCATCAGGAACCTGTTCTAGTCATTGGGGGTGGACTGGTCACTGATGTCGCTGGGTAAAAGAAACCACCTGCCACGATGACTCCAAGGCACTCTGGCCCATATATCTCCTTGCGTGTGCGTTAATGGACGCTTTACTAACCCTCCGCCCAACAGCTTTGCCTGTGCCGCCTACCGCAGGAACACAAACTTCATTCGCATCCCAACAACCGTTATCGGGTTGATTGACGCGTCCGTGTCCATCAAGGTCGCTGTCAACTACGGCAACTACAAGAATCGCCTGGGTGCTTACCACGCGCCAATGCGTACATTTTTGGACTTTACATTCCTCCGCACTCTGCCCAAAGCCCAGATCCGTAACGGGTTTGCCGAATTGATCAAGATCTCCACCTGTGCTCACCTGCCAACTTTTGAACTTCTCGACAAATTCTGCGAGCAGCTGATCGACTCTGGCTTCGGTCGTTGTGACGGCGCACCAGCGGAGGTGCGGAATGCGGCTGATGCCATCAACCGGGCTGGTATCCACGAGATGCTCAAGCTTGAAACGCCCAATCTTCACGAGATCGGACTCGACCGCGTTATCGCGTATGGTCACACGTAAGTCGCACAAAATTCAATTGTGTCAACCTCATGTCTAAGTATTTGCCCAGATGGTCTCCTCTGCACGAGCTTGTCCCCGAAGTTCCGCTCCGCCATGGACACGCAATCTCAATAGATATGGCCTATTCGGCCACATTGGCCAATATGCGCGGCATTCTCAGCGACACGGAACACCAGAGGATTCTGCGCCTGTTCTCACGAGCGGGCCTGTCCATGGACCACCACCAATTCGACGAAGACATTCTCGACAAAGGCACCAAGGCCATCCTGCGGACTCGAGATGGAAAACTCCGAGCCGCCGTGCCCGCCCCGCTCGGGTCGTGTGTCTTCTTGAACGATGTATCCATGGACGAAATGTACGCCGCGCTGAAGCGACACAAAGAATTAATGAAGAACTTTCCCCGAAACGGAGAAGGAATCGAGGCGTTTGTCGACGCCAGTGATACTGGCTACACGGTGAACAACGTGCCCGTCGAAACGGATGGTGTGTCGAACGGATTGAAGTCGTTAACCGTGCTCAACGACGACGTCCAGAAGAACGGCATTCAGACCAACGGCCACAACGGCGTCGATGGGAAAATGACTCACGGTGTTACAACCGCAACGAAGCACGCGTCGGATCCTGAAAAGGCCGACAGTCTCATTGACGGGATTCGAGGTATCGGCATGAACAATGACATTTCCAACGGAGGGGCTGATGGTGTTTCGAACGAGTTGAACGGTGGGAGCAAGAGGGTTGAAGTTCGAGCCTGATCAATAATAAAGGATGTTGATGGATTTTGGACTCTAGAATTTCTCTAGAAACTTTCACGCCTGTCAAAGTCGCCAAAAGAATTATGGGATTGATATACAACGTAAGGGAATCAAATATACTGCTCCCCATGAATGGTCAATACACGTCACCGTCACTGGTCTCGTTATCGTGTAATATTTCTATATCAATCGAGATCTGTCTACGTGTAATGATTGCTCTAGACCACCTTTATCCTCATACGACCATATCTCCAGGCTTCTTGTCGAGTAAAATCTTCGCTACCAAGACGTTGTAGTAAATATGGATTTATGACCATGTCATGATGTCAGTCACGCACGGTACCCAACGCGATGTTTAACAGTCAAAAACGTGGCTTCACGACCAAGTTCCAGATCGATCTAGGTAACGGTAATGAAGTCTCTATATCTATCTCATCTCAATATGTGTTGCAGCCATTCTTTCCACCGGCCGTAAGAGATCCCGCCGCAGAAATTGTTTTCTCTTCTCTTTGAACCCCCTTCACTTTGATCTATTTCCATCTTTTGAGGGGGAAAAGAGCAACATGTCTCTCAACTATTTCACCTGCACGCTCGACCGTGCGGCTCTCCACCAGCGTGAGAAAAGATACAGCACCATCGGGGAATTCGTCGGCGTCAAGGCCCAGACGTGTCCAGAAGTGCCAGTACTCGGCCTGTACGAGGTTACAACAGGCACAGCAAAGGCCTCGCGGGCAGCGTGGACACCGCACGTGTGGACGTTCAAGGCCGTCTACAGGGGCGTCAACCTGGTAGCTCAGGCGTTGTTGGAAGCGTGGAGGTGGGACGATGATACAAACCCCAGCAAGTCGGGACCGGGACCGGGACAGACGGTGGCGGTCCTGTGTCCCAGCTCGCCTGGGCTGTTGTTCACATGGCTGGGCTTGATCTGGCTGGGCCATCCGGTCCTGCTGGTCGCTCCGCAATGCAGCCCCTCGGCGATCGCGGAGCTGTGCAGGTCCTGTAACGTCGAGGTGATCCTGTACGAGGAGCCTTACGGTACTCTCGCGAGGGAAGCGTCACGGGAGGCGTCGTCGCATCCTGGAGAAAGGTGTCTCGTCGCGCACCCGATACCTTTTGCTGGAGACAACATCTTCCACCTCATCAAGGATTCAAGTCCTGTCCCCCTTGTCCCTCCGGCGACCGTGCGAGACACGGACGTGGCCTACCTCCACCACACCTCGGGCACGTCGAGCGGCGTCCCCAAACCGATCCCCCAGACACACAGGGCGGCGGTCGGGGTCCTTCCCATCCTCGACGGTACAGGGCAGGCGACATTCACGACGACACCACTCTATCACGGCGGCGTGGCCGATTTGTTCCGTGCATGGACCAGCAACGCTTTGGTGTGGCTCTTTCCGGGCAAAGACCTGCCCATTACCGCTGCCAACGTGCGCAGATGTCTTGACGTTGCCTCGTCTTATCCTCCCGCCTCTTCTTCCGCATCAACAACAGACAACTGCAGAACGATACCGGAGATAAAATATTTCTCCTCTGTGCCGTACGTGCTGCAAATGATGGCAGACGACGAGATTGGTCGGGAATACCTCCGAAAAATGGACATCGTCGGCGTCGGCGGTGCAGCTCTACCCAAAGAAGTCGGCGACAGCCTCGTCAGGGACAATGTGAAGCTGGTATCGCGGTTCGGGAGTGCCGAGTGTGGGTTTCTCCTATCCTCGCATCGGGACTACGCAAAGGATGAGGCATGGCAATACCTCCGAGCGACGCCTGGTCCGGGTTCGTCTTCATCACCACTAAAGTTCGAGCCCAGGGACCAGGAGGAGGGTCTTTTCGAACTCGTCATCCAGGCGGGCTGGCCGCATATGGTATGTATTGATATTTCATTCCCCACAACTTTGATCACACCCCCCCCTATTTCCTGTGTGCGGATGAGATACTGACTTTTTGGTTTTTTTTTTTTGTTCAAAATGTACAGGCGAAGCGAAACCGAGAGGACGGCTCCTTCGCCACCGCCGACCTGTTCACCGCCCATCCAACAATCCCCGACGCATGGCGATATCACTCGCGAGCCGACTCGCAGCTGACGCTCGTCACGGGAAAGAAATTCGACCCGGCACCCCTCGAAGACGCCATTCGGGCCTCGGCCTCGTCTGTCCTACAGGATGTCCTCATCTTCGGCAACGGCAGACCATACCCTGGTGCCCTGCTGTTCCCACGCCAGGGAGTGTGGCAGCTTAGCGGAGAAGACCTTGTCCGCCAGACCGCCCCCGTGGTCGAGGACCTGAACCGCAAGAGCCAGACTCACGCGCGGATCCCGAGGAACATGCTCGTTCCCATGGTCTTTCTCAAAGATGGACTCGAGAAGAGCAGCAAAGGCACCGTTCTCAGGTCCAGGGCCGAAGCCAGGTTCGCTGAGGCAATCGACGCCGCCTACGCAGAAGAAGAAACCCTCCCGAAGGGTGTCAGTCTCAGTGTCGATTCTTCGCCAGAGGTATCCGACAGCGACATACCCGCGAGGATCCGCGAGATTGTGGAGAATGTTGTCGGCGCAGGAGGGAGGAATGGTCACAGTGACGGTGACGGTGACGCCCTGACGGAGCATACGGATCTGTTCGCCTACGGGGTCGACTCGGTCGCGAGCATCCAGATCCGCCGTGCGCTGTCCCGACTCCTACCAAGGGGCTCAGCCTTGTCGTTGACGGTGGTGCAAGATACGGGCACCATCGCCGAGCTGAGCGATCTCATCCTGCGTGTGCGATCAGGGAGAGGGGACTCTACGACAAGGAGGCGGGAGTGTGATGAACAGGCCCAGCATCGGCTGATGCTCGATTTGGTCGACGAGCACAGTGTCTTTGATCAGCCGGGAACAGAACGTTCCTCCTCTCCGCCCGTATCCAGCACCGGCACCGGTCTCCATTCCTCACAATCCCCACTGCCAACTATCCTCCAGGACAAGGACAACGGTAAAGGCGAAGGCATCCACGTCCTCCTCACGGGCCCAACAGGCTCTTTGGGCGCACACATCCTGCACCAACTCCTCGCGAGCACCTCCGTGCTCAAGGTCCACCTCCTCGTCCGCGGCGCCACGCCCACCGCCTCGCGCGAACGTATCTTGAAAGCACTGACGTCCCGTCATCTCCCCGTCCCGGGGTGCTTCGACACCAAGACCAAAATCCACAGCTGTAACCTCTCAGACACCAGACTCGGGCTGTCCGACGAGACGTACGAGCAGTTGACCCGTGAAGTGGACGTGATTGTCCATTTGGCGTGGAGCGTCAACTTCCTCTTGCCCTTGCGAGCGTTTGCGCAGACGCATCTCGCGGGGACGAGGAACTTGATCAATCTCGCCGCTCGGTCCTCGTCGTCGTCAAAGGGGAGGATACCGCCGAGATTTATATTCTGCTCCAGCGTGGCGGCGGTATCAGGCTATTCTTCTTCCTCTCCTTCATCAACATCATCAACATCATCTTCGTCTTCTTCGTCTTCTTCTCCTCCTTACTCGTCTCGATCTTCTTCTTCTTCGCCAACGACAACAATAACCTCCCACCAACCCATCCCCGAGAGTATCCTTTCCGACCCCACCGTGTCCGGCCCAACCGGCTACGCCCAATCCAAGTGGGTCGCCGAACAAATCTGCCACCGCGCGGCGCGCGATTCCTCACGGCTGAAGAACCGCATCTCCGTCGCCCGAGTCGGGCAGCTATCCGGCGCGAGCGACACGGGCGTGTGGAGCCGCAGCGAAGCGTACCCGCTGATCCTCAGCACGCTCGCGGTGACGGGGTGTTTGCCGGACCTAGATCAGGCGAGGAGAGACCAGGGCCACGGGCAGGGCGAGGCGCTGGCGTGGTTGCCCGTCGACGTGGCCGCAAGGGCGTTTGTGGAGGACATTCTCAAGAACGATGACGCTTCATCGTCTCGTCATTCGGCGTGGGAGGATCATCTTTTGACGGAGAAAAACGTCAAAGAGCCCCTCGTCGCCACGACAGCCACAATCGCAGACACAGAGCGAAGAAGAGGTTCTTCACCTGACGTCGCGGTCCACCACGTCCTCAACCCCTCCACCCGCGTAACCTGGTCCGACCTGCTCGTCTGGGTGTCACGTCATCACTCACGCAGTCCCATCGAGATCGTCTCCGTAGACGAATGGCTGTCCCGCCTGTCCGACCTGCAGGACAGCAGCGGCGCCGCCGGCACGGAAACCCACAACCACCCCGCTCTACGACTGCTGGGGTTCTGGGAGAAAGTGTACGGAGGTGTCTCTCGAGGGATGACATTAGAGCAGCACCCGGCAGTGGCAGAGGCTGGAGAATTAAAAGTAGAGGTCAAGACTGGAGAAGAAAAGCAGCGACATCCCCAACCAGAGAAAGGTGTTGAAGACGCCAGAGAAGCCGCAGTCCATTACGAAGTGGCAAAGACGTTCGAGCGCATGCCCGTGTTGAGAAACGTACAGGAATTGGTTAATGAGGACTACGTCTTAAAGTTGTGGGAGTGGATCAGAGACAATATCTAAATAAATCCCCGTTTACTATGGATAAAATGACTTTGCTCCTCTCCTAATCTATACTTGGTAAACCTCGTGCATTATCCACTATATGCTACACGCCACTCACTACACACTAGACACTATATGAGGTACAAGTTGTGAGACGGGCATCACTACACACCAGAATACACAATAGCATCACTTCCATATCAATCACAGGAACTTGAGAAGAGGATCAACACAATCCAATAATCATAAACTCATCTAATCATCCTGTTTCTTGTCTTTTTTTGGTCAAATATTCATCATGCCATGAAGCATAAGCTCGTCTCTACGTTTATTGTGTACACACCAGCAACTTCGGCCTGGTCCACGGTCATGCATTGCTGCTATCCAGTCACCCACAACGTCTCTGACATCCCCAGCCTTGCAGCCACCAACCAGTTCTTCCTATGGTTCTGTGACAAGCCAGTCCTCGGCGTCTTCTCTGGACTTGTAGTTGTGGTGATCGGTGGTCGACATCATCATGGATGGCAAAAGGTTAGCGATGTGAACCAACTGGCGCAGGCTCGACTACCGCCATCTCTGCCGACGCTGCAACATTCATGCCACATGGTAAATCCTACACTTTGCGCTTCGGTCGAATTCCGGCCGATGACCAATGTCGAGTAGAAGCGACCCCATAGGATGTCAAGTACAAGATGCATAGTTGTTAGGCATCGTCACACCTCAAGCATGAGGGTTTTGGCGTGTCCCTATTTCCACGGATCTACCGGATGAACATGCCCTCGGCTCGTCCCCAGAAGTTGCGCGCCTTGTTGACATGGTCCAGGCCGAGCATCTCGTCTCCGTCCTGAATGAGATCGACAAGGATGTCGTCGTCTTCAATGTATCTTGGCTTGGCATAAAGCGTCCGGGAGACAAGTGCAAACTTGATCTGCTGCAGCAACTTGCCCTTGATACCCGTTCGCTTACTGATGCGTTCTTTGGTGTCTTTGAGTGCTTCACCTGGTTTCAGCATAAACTTGAACGGGACACCATGGGGCTTGTTGGCCTCTTTGTCGAAATGGTAGCAATAAATGAAACGGTCGTCTTCCGAGGCGTTTTGTTCTTCCTCGGGGATCTTCTCGGCATATAATGTGGTGAACTCGTTTACTCCAACCACGTTGAAATCCTCAATCAATTCCTTGTGGATTTTGCCCCCATGTACCTCGAGCACCCGTATATTGCGAGCGGCCTGTTCATCCAGATTGAGCTTTTTGGCAATCCCGGCGATCAGATCCCCGATGATGCCATTCTTGGCGACGAGTATCTCCAGTGGTTCCTAACCCTTGTTAGCATGATACATCACTTTATGTGGGGGACTTTTACCTCTTTACTGATGCCATCACTGAGCCAGATAACCTTCATGATCTTCTTGGTTTCATAATCAGCCAGGCTTGTTTCGAGGACCTCGTAATACAACGCGTCGCCCCGATGGGTGGCATATCCACCATAGGAAGAGAACTGTGACTGAAGGATTTGCTGGAGGTTATGGTTCATCCCACGTTTGATCCACATTTTGATCTTATTGTTGGTCGCGCTGATGGTGGCGAATCGGATGTGAGTTGGCTCAACTTTGAGGTGCTCCCCAACCTTTGCGGAGAATTGGTCATAGGTCATTTTCTTGCTGAGGCTAAGGACGAAGGCCTCTCCTTCCGTGCCGGGTTTTGGATGGAAGCTAACAGGTATTCGGTTCAGGAGGTAGTCATAGTATTGTCGCGCATCGGTATACGTGGCAGTGGACAAGTCAAGATCAGGGAGGTTTTGTTGGAAACAGATAATGTCACCGTCTTGAATCTCGGATTGCTGGAACGTCTGCTTCGGCTTCATCGCCTCAATCATTGAGAACTTGATCTCTTCGAACAAGAGAATCGGCGTTGCAGGATCCCAGTGCATGAGTCGATTGATCTGGGGTGCAATTTCCTGCACCTTGTCCAGCTTTTTGACATACATGTGGCCCACACCAGTCAGAGTCTGAGCCTTGACGTCGAAGTATTTGAGGAAAACAAGGATTGGGACGTTGCCACCGACGGCTTGCGCGGGATCTGGCCATTGAACTTTGCCATCGTCTCCCTTGGGTGCATTCTCGGCCCAAAGATAAAACGGCCTGCCTCTAGAGCCATACTTGTTCATGGCCTCTTCCATGGTGATGTCCACATCACGAATAGGCTGATCGGGACGGTTGGTTTTGTTTTGTCGGCCGACCATGACCCAGAAGCGGATTTGATCGGACTCCAGACCAAGCTCCTCGGCAATGGTGCCAGCAAATTCGCTGATTTTCGTGGCGCGAAGGACTCGATACACTTGAGCGGCGGCCGGATCGGTCTGTTCGAGATCGTAACTGGTCAAGTCGAAACCATGATGGGCTTGGAAGCTCTTTTCGGTTATGACGCCCACGTTCATGTAGAGGTGCGCCTCTTCGCGCTCTTTTTTCTTCCTAGCAAGCTCCGCTTGCTCCTCTGCAATTTTGGTCTCGATGTGTGCAGGGATGTCGGATTCGCTTACGTCGAGAAGGACTTGATCGAGCCTGCTCTTCCGGATGTATACCAACATGTAAGCATTCATGGATCTCTTAGTGGAATAGCCCCGCATGTATGGTTGCCGTTGTCCCAGTCCGCCGTTAGCGACATTAGCGTACTCTCCCCCAAAATTCTCCTCGAGCACTTCTTTCATAGTTGATCGTGTGACTCGGTCGTCATCAAATTTGTAGAAGTGGCCGTCTTTGGTGGGCTTGAGGAAGGCATAATAGTGGCCTGCGTTGAAGTCGCCGCTGTGCACAAGTACGCCGTGTAATTGATAAATCCATGGTTCCGTCGAAGCCGCCTTAGCTTCATCCGAGAGATACAGAGAGGCATCGAATTCCTCGGGAAACTCATGTCTGTCGTTGACCTTCATCATAGCATCGCGATTGATGTCATATTCGAATCTCTTCAGCTGGAGGTGAAGCACGGGGGGAAATGATTCGAAGATGACACCTTTGCGGGCATCCTGCAGCTTGTAAGGCTCTCCAGCGTCGTACTTGTTTTCGCCCTCCAGGGTTTCGACTTGGATATAGTCCATGAAGCTCTCGTGCAAATTTTTATTGCCCCTGACATTGAGTTGAATGTCCCAGAATTCCTCTATCCGGGAGGACTCGAAGTCGACGTTGATACAAGAAATGTAAGTCTTGGTCTTTCCGACGAAAAGTTCAGGCAGGGTCCGTTCTGCAGGTGTGCCTTTCATCTTCTTCTCCAAAACCTCCATCAATATGCGCGACAGTTCTTGCACGTCTTGCTGCTCGAAAATTTGCCTAGTATCCCATCCAAAGGATGCGGTCAACTCGTTGGTTGAAACTGCAAACCTATCTTTCTGGAGCCTGTAGAATAGACGCTGAAGTGTCCAGGCACTATTACTCCGGTTGGCTTCCTTCTCGGTGGGGATTTGATAGACAGCTTTTCGGAATAAGTTCGTGAAATAAAGAGACTGGAGGAGAGAGTTCAAATAGCAGGTTGCCCCCTGGTTCTTTAAACCGACCATGCCGGTCTCCTTCTTTGAGTCATATCCTTCGAAGTTATGCCACAAGACGCCGGTGGGGTCTTTGATGATGCGGACATAGGCTGTCAATTTGGCTTCATCATTCTCCACCAAATGCCTCGACCCATCTTCCCAAGGTTGATGGAAAGCCTTCCTAAGTTCCACAAACCTGGTGAAGCCCCAGTCACCTTCTTTTGCGTTGAAACGGTGAGTGGCAGTGTGGGTTCGGTATAGGGTTGGGTCGTTCGGATTCCACAGCACGAGGGCAAATTGAACGCAGGCGTACCAATCCGCGGGCGGTTCGTTTTCGAATCCATGTTCTAGATAGAAGGACGCGCAGTCGACCTGATTTCCGAAGGGGAAGAATAGCACTCTCCAGGGATGACCGCCGCATTCAAATACTGGCCCGTGCTCTCTTCTCGACAATGTCCGCCATTTTTCTATATGCCATGTGTGATATGCTTCAGCTTCGACCTCGACATCAGGCAGGTCGACGAGGACGTGCCGCTTCATCGTCTCAACTGGATATTGGTCAGTTCGTGGGCGAGCCAAGTAGGAAAGCAATAGTAAGCTGTTGGGTGGACATACAATCATCGGCCCGTGGGAGGGCTTCTGCAGGTTCTTCTGAGGCATCGTCCGGCGAGATGTTGACCACCTCGTTTTCCTGGTGGTATTGGTCGTAGCCGTCAATCAGCATGTCCGGTCCCGCTAACTGCAAATTGTCGAACCGGGCGGCGAAGTCAGTATTCATGGTTGTTGGTAGATATACAGGCTTGGAAAACAGGGCAATGCTCAACGTACGTTGTCCATGGTGAGAAGAGTCTGGACACGACGGTTATATTAAACTGCGCGGGACAGCAGGCGAGGGTGGCAGCCGAGTAGCTCTTTCCTCAGGTTTCCGCAGTTGACGCAGGGAATGGGGAGGTGTTATGTATGTCACAATGTGTGGGTGATGCAAGAAGGCTCGTCAGCAAGCAAGGCCTCACTCGCCACCCACGCGTAAATCTAGAATCTAGATAGACGACAGGGCCGATGGATGGGCTGGTTGCTAGAATAAGTTGCGCAGGTACCTTTCGGGGGAAGCAAAGATGGGATGCAGTATCAAAGGGTCAAATCATTCCTAGCCCACTGTCTGCAGCCTTCCAGAATAGACGTCAAATTATTGTCAAAGTGTCGCCGCCAGCCCGGCACAAGCTTTTGAACGGGCGAATAGCAAGGGTCAAACGCCGGGCTCTCCGTAGAGTGAAGCACGCCCACCGAATAGGCAGCCCGTCACCTTTTTTACCACTAAACAATTCCTACGGAACCCCGTGTTGGTGCAACCCAGGCGTCATTCCCTGGGCCACTATGCCTAAACCGAGAGTGGCTGTCAACTGCTAGGCATTTCCAACGTCAATCCCTTCTGTTTAGCTCTTGGTATGTGACTCTGCCCCTCCAACAAACCACAACTTCATCACGATTCTTTGTGCAAC